GCACACTTACCATCGGAGGGGTCGTCGAGCGACGGCCATGATTAATAGTCTTTATTTTTATGTTTTATTTTATTCATGTCATTTATATTTCATGTTTTCCATTTGGACCCCTATGAGGAGTTAGTGCTTATTGTAGCTCAAGGGCAATATCGTCTTTATGGTTTTTATTTTCGAATGGCCTATCTATAGGCTTAGTCATTGTATTTGAGTTTAGTTTTGATGAATGAAAATTTTACTCTTATGTTCTCTTTGTGAGTTTCTTTCTCCTAGATCTCTTAGTGAGTTCGTCAGAGAAGATAGATCTCTTTGTGGCTTCTAGATTTTCGTTCAAGCCTTCTTTGTGGAACTTCAGATTGAATATAATTGAGGTGAGTGAATCCGTGGCCAATCGAATCCCTAGAAAAATTTTTCCTTTCTTCCCTCCCTGGCTACTTGCCGCCGACCCTCCCTGGACCTCCAAACCCGACGGCCTGCAGCCCAGCCACCCGCCGGCCAGCAACCCGCGCCCCCCAACCCCGACGGCCTGCAGCCCAGCCACCCGCCTGCCGGCCACCCGCTGGCTTCACCTTGCCGCCGACTCCTCCCCTAGTTCTCCCCTTTGGATTTCGAATTCTCTTCTCTTAATTGCTTTCCTAATTAAGCCGTATTAAATTTGGAAAGTCAATTAATAGGAATTACACATTTGAAATTCAAATTCAACTCCCCTCATATTTTCATTTGAATTTGGGAATTACTTAAGACAATCAAATTCTGAAATTAAATTCATATTTTTGATTAGTTTTATTAACTCCTTGTGGTCCCCACTTGTTTAAATTCTCAATCCCTCTCATCACTATACATGGCCGGCCCTCTCCCCTCTCTCTCCCCTATTAATTCTCTTTTAATACACCCTTATTTCTTTCCCTCCTTGACTAATTTCAAGTTTGAAATTCTGAAACTGAAATTAAGTCATCCATAATTTAGGAAATCTGAATTAAAATTCAGATTTGTGTTTATTCCCCCATAGCCTCACCCGCCCGCTCTTCCTCCCAAGTCGTGACTTCCCTCCCTCTCCCTAGATCACGGCAAGCTCTCCCACCACCCTATTTCTTCTTCCCTACTCAATCCCACAATGCATGGCGGATCCCGAGCTTGAGAGCGAATTGGTTTTCGACATCTACGGAGACATTCACCTCACCCGCTCACCGTTCTTCAACGTTGGATTTGGCTCGGACGACACGGTTGAAGATTATTTGAATCGCATCCTTCCCACTCTCGTGGACGTCATAGACAACCAATTTCAAGACTACGACTGGACTATCAACGGACATCCACCCGCTTCCCCACCTTCACCGCCGCCGCTTCCCTCACCACCACTACGGATCATTTGCGCCGTCTACCTTGGAGTTATCCCGTTTCTCGTAGGGTTCTTCTTCCTCCGACAATCCTAGAAGTAGAAGAGTGACTTTGAGCCTCAAGGTGAGACGATTACTTTGTTAACCGTCGGATTCTAGCTGGCTAATCATTTCATTATGTTTGCTTAAGTTGTTATTTTAAGGAACTTGCAAATTTAGCTGTAACGGATTGCCTGATGCATTGTTGACTTCTTAGATCTTTCTTGAGTTTTCAATTTTGAGAAGTTTTAAATTTATTTTTATAATTGCTCCAACAAATTTTATTAATTTCTAAATAAACAATTCCTGGTTTCACATCAGAATAGGCATGTATATGAGGGACCAAAAGATAATTATTCACTACAGAAACTATGACGGCCGAAAGAGAAACAAAAAAAAGAAAAAAGAAAAGGTATATAAGAAATACATATATCACCAAAAAACTAGAAAAATTGCAGCAAGAAAAGTACTTGAATTAACAACAACAAACAACAACATCAAGTCTTTGTCACACTACGTGGGGTCGGCTACATGAATCTTTTTTCTCCATCGTGTTCTATTAAAAGTCAAACTTTCATTTAAATCTAATAAAGAAAGATCATTTCTAATATTTTCTAACCAAATATTTTTTAGGTCTACCACAACCTTTCTTAACATAAGTCAAATCTAATACATCTACTTTCCTAACCGGGTCATCATAAGTTCGCCGTTTAATGTGACCAAACCATCTAAGGCGATTCTCTCTAATCTTATCTTCCACTGGAGCTACTCCAACCTTTTCACATATATGCTCATTTCATATCCTATCTCTAAGGGTAAAGCCACTAATCCACTTGAGCATCCTCATCTCTGCAATACTTAACTTAATATTATGCTTCTCTTTTAATGACCAACATTCGGCACCATAAAGCATTGCAGGTCTCACCACCATCTTATAGAATTTTCCCTTAAGTTTGAGGGGAACTTTTCTATCACACAAAAAGCCCGATGCATTCCTCCACTTCAACCATCCAACTTGAATTTTGTTGATAATATCCTCATCTATTTCACCGTCACTCTGAATAATATATCCAAGATATCTAAAACGTGTACTCTTATTAATGACTTAATCCCCAAAGTCACAAATCCCCTCACTAGGTTTATTACTATTAAAATTACACTCCATATATTTAGTTTTAGATCTAGTCAAGCGAAAACCTTTAGACTCTAAGGTTGACCTCCATAATTCAAGTTTACCTTTAACTCCCTCTCTAGTCTTATCAACAAAAAGATTATCATCTGCAAAAAACATACACCAAGGTTCATCCTCTTGCAAATGTCTAGTGATAACATCCGTGATTAAAGCAAAAAGATATGGGCTTAAGGCTGATCTTTGATGTAATCCAACCGAAATAGGAAAATACTTGGTCAAACCATCTTGTGTTTGAACACAAGTAATAGCTCCTACATACATATCTTTAATGATTTGAATATAAACATTATTAACTCCTTTTTTTCAAGAACTCTCCATAGTACTTCTCTTGGAACTTTAGCATATGTTTCTCTAAATCAATAAATATCATATGTAGATCCTCCTTATCCTCTCTATATTTCTCCATCAAACCAACTCAATAAATGTATGGTTCCATAGTAGACCTACCGGCATAAATCCAAATTAATTTTGAGAAACATTAGTATCACGCCGCAACCTACGCTCCATAACTCGCTCCCATCCTTTTAAAGTATGACACATTAACTTAATTCCTCTATAATTCGCACAATCTTGTGCACCACCTTTATTCTTAAAAATAGAAATTAACACACTCATTTGACATCTTTTTAGTCTTTAAAACAGTATTAAAAAGTCTAGTAATGCAAGAAATTCCTTCATCTCCTAAGCATTTCCACACCACTATTGGGATATCATTAGGCCAACCAGCTTTTTCACACTTCATTTTCTTTAAAGCCTCTCTAACTTCGGTTTTACTAATACGCCGATAAAAACAAAAATCTTTCTTTTCATTTTGGGTGCTAAGGTCACTAAAATCAATCGTATTATCACAATCTTCATTAAAAAATTTAACAAAATATCTCATCCACCTTTGTTGAATATCATCTTTTAAGAAAAGTACTTTTTGATCTTCATCCTTAATACACTTCACTTGAATTAATATATGTTTGGTTAACTTATACATATATTTTTCTCCCTCTTTAGTATCTAATCTATTATATAAATCATTAAAAGCTAAAATTTTTGCATCGCATATTGATTTCTTATATTCCTTAAGTGCATTTTTATATCAATCCCAATTATTATATTTTTTGCATCTAAACCAATTTTTAAAACAAATCTTTTTATTTTTTATTTTTTCTTGCATATTTGAATTCTACCACTAACTATTTTTACTATTATGAGTTTTTCCATTTGATACTCCAAGCACATCTTTTGCAATAATCTTAATATCACTAGTCACTTTTTTCCACATAACATTAGCATCTTCATGCACAGACAAAATTTTAAGATATAAAATCTTACTCTCAAAAATATTTTTGTAAATATTCTTTAAATGCTCCCATCTAATCCTAGAAAATCGTTTAATTTTATTTTTTTTATTTTTTGTCCCTTAATCTTAAAGTCCAAAACTAATAATCGATGTGGGTACATAAATTTTTACTCGGAATAACTTTAAAATCTTTGCAATGTAAATGATCTAATTTTCTTATAAGAAAATAATCAATATGAGTTTTACTATATCCATTTTTATAAGTGATGAAAAAATCATAAGCTAAAGAAAAATCTAAAAATGTTCTTACCACATTCATTTATCGTTCCAAACTCATGGCCACCATGAATGCTTTTAAAATCATCTACCTCTCTACCAACATGTTCATTTAAATCTCCTCAAATAACAACTTTCTTTAAGAGGTATCTTTTGTATTAATTCTTCTTCATTCCAAAATTTTAATTTTGAACTCATATCGAAACCTACTTGATGAACATAAGCAGTTATAATATTAGCAATATTATCATCAACAACAATCTTTAAACCTATAATTGTATCTCCAATTATATTAATATTTATAACATTATCCTTCAAACTCTTATATATAATCATATCTGCACCATTTTTAGTACGACTTCTACCCGAATATCATAGTTTAAATACTAAACTATCAATCTCCTTAGTCTTCTCTCCAACCCATTTAATTTCCTAGATCCACAGAATATTTATCTTCCTATGAATCATAATATCTATCAATTCCATTAATTTTTCTATAAGGGAACATAAATTCTAAGTTTCAATCCTAATTTTAGTTTCATGGACTAACTTAATTTCCAACATCCATCCTTGATGTGGGAACCCTTAACTATTTAACACTCCATGCGAGCGTCGATGCAGTGGCCCTTGCACACTTGTCGTTATATTCAGGCCATGCAACGCATCGCTTCGAGAGGACGCCCTAGCATTAACATAATTTTTTAAAGAATTCATGTCATGATTATTCAACAAGTTTTATGCTGGTAGTCGACTACCCAACGCACCCTCCACTTTTCTTATCCAGGACTTGAGACCTGACAACGACAGTGTTGAAAGTATTTGAATTAACCAGCACAAATAAAAAAATTTAAAAAAGAAAAGCACAAACCTTTGTATGTGGCCATAGATGATCCGGAGAAACATGCATTGTGCAGCCCTCCCTGCCAGCCTCCCATTCAACAACAAAGTGTGCCATAAAAGGCACTGAGCCGTAGCTAAACCATAAACTCATAAGACCAACAGCCTCAATCTTGAAAATTCTTCTCATCTGTTCGGTTAACTTGTCAACAGGCTCATTAGCAGCTTTTTGTATTTGCAAATTATTGTCAGAGCTTGCAGTTAAATCATCTAATTTATCATCTGCCCTGGCACCAATTAGCCTCCTCATCCCACGAGCAAATAAACGTGCATTAGACAGCCTTCTTAAATCTGAAACAAGCCTCTCAATGCTATCAGCTTCAACTGTTTTATAACCCAAAACCACTCCTTCAGGATCATAATGGATATGTGAATCAACATCAGATGCATTAGCAATACGAACACCAGGGTACCATGTTGTACTATTATTTCCCTTACAAAGTTCCCATAATTCCTGAAAATGCTGGTCTTTTATTTTAACATCCCAATACATGCTTCCAGGTTTGCCTAGACGTAAACAAATATGCTGCCACGAGCCATCCTGAGCAAGTGGCAGTCGGAACCACAAGTTTAAAGATGAAGCTCGTAGACCAACTTCTTCAACATATGGAATGTCAAGAGCTTCCATCTGGCTAGTTAGTCTAGCGTGCTTGATACAAAGTGAACAATGTCTAATTACATGGAGGAGGACAGACACATATATGTTTGAAGGAGCATTACCATGGATAGCTTCAGCAAGAAGACTCCCATACATGTGCTCACCAGATCTGCATGATGGGAAAGCTGATAGTCCTAATGAATCAGTAGATTCTAAGGTTCTCATTCTCTTCCATGGTCGATCATCCTGCTCTAGCTCTTTGAATGATGGTATCATGGTTAAAATCTCAGAAAGAGATCTTTTATGAGGCGTTCTCTCCGGTTTAGAAATAGCCCTGAGCCCTATGGCATGGGATGCTCCGGATTCTGAAGCTTGACCTGTGGTAAAAAAAACTCAACAAGTTAAGAAGGAAAAGATGGTAAATCAAGACTACCCTTAATAATATAGCCAAAGTTATTCGCTTACAAGAGGGGGCAGCAGTCAATGAACTTGATCCGGTACTTCCCAAATGTCCAACTAAATGGCTATAAGAAGAACCTTTGGAACCATTCATTCTGCTAACAGGTACTGAGACCCGAGAAACAGTTGTCCCTGCTCTATTCGCAACTAATGAAGAACCAGAACTGTTTATCAATTTGGTCTGATCCTCATCCAAAGCATTAAACTGACTAAGTTCAGTAGAATACAGAGACTTGAGAGAGCTCAAATCCTGTTCAGATTTTGAAGATGGAAGTTTCTGAAAAGGAGGGTTTCTCATTGAGCTTGTGAACATAGCTGAACTGTTACTGTTAAGTTGACCCTTAGCATTACCAGATAGATAAAATGAACCATTCAAACCAGAAGAAACTTTATTGAAGGTATTACTTTGAGAATTTTGGATTCCACCATCCAACTTAGGGGTTCCAACACCAACCATTGTTCCTTGACCAAAAGTAGAAAGAGAATTCAAGTGAGAAAAGGATGGCACACCATATGAAGAGGAAAAACTTTGATTGGAAAGATGGTTTCCTAATACATCTTTCTCAGATTCAAACACTTCGTCCACAATAGATGAAAAACTTGATTGAGAACAGTCAGGAAGCTGCAACGCATGCTCCAACCCTAACTCTGGAAGAGCATTTTTAGAAAGTTGATTCAAAGTTGCTAAGTTTGGCAGGGTGCTTATCTTCTCCCAGTTTAGAAGGCTTAAATTCAAATCATCATCAACCATCTGCATCTGACCAATGTCAATTTTATTAAAGCGAATAACATGATTGATGTTACTGACTGACTGTGACTTTCCACCCGTATCAGGTTGAGTTTCTAGTAAATTAAAAAGAGGTCTAAAATCCTTATCAAGCTGCATCAACAAAAAATATGAGTTTCCAGATTGTGGAAACCCCATCAATAATAAATCTGAACCATGCAAAATAGATTTTGGAATCTTCAGAGAAGCCAGGCAGTTTTCATAAACCTGCAAAAGTTATTTCAAACAGTTTACAAAAGTTTTCCTGCAAAAGTTGTTTCAAACAGTTTACAAAAGTTTTCCTGCAAAGGTTATTTCAAACAGTTTAAAAAAGTTTTCTTTTATTTCAAAAAAACAAGATCATTTTATGTTAAGAATGGAAATAATGTAAAGTTTTTAAACAGTTTTCACAGCATTTACAAAATAAATAACTAGCAGAAGTTAAAGTACAGAACATGAAATAAAAAGTATTTTCTTTGTGCCACAACTGAGAAGATCAAACAGACTTGAAAAGATAAAGATAAATAAAGTATAAAAACACAAAGCGCTGAGTTATTGACAAAATTACGCTCACCTACAGTAGAGGTTAAAGGCAGGTGTGTGTATATATATATGTTGAAATCAGGGATTGAGAGGGAAAAAACCATATATTATAACACAATTTCATCCCTATTTATAAATCTATACAAGATATCTTAATAAATAAACAAATAACCACAAAATAAGGCATTATTGCCCTCATATATTTCTTCCTAAATCAGCTACCTAACTATGAAAGGAAATCATCGTGATTTAGGCGTGATCTAGGCGGGCTTCCCACGGATCCTGATTTGTGGCCGTCGGATCTCTTCTAGAGAGAGTGACTGAGATTTTATACTCCCCCTCAAGCTGGGGAATATAGATCAATCATTCCCAGCTTAGCAATCTGCTGTGGAAAAGCAATGAAACGGTGCTGCGAGACGAAGGAGAAGAAGAGAAACATAGGAAAAGCCGAGAATAAAGGGAAAAGCAAATAACTTCTATTTTTCTTGTCTACCTGTAACTTTCTCAGTATAGGTATATATATTGTATACATCCGCTTAAAGTAACTAAAAGCAGCAAAACGGCTAAAAAGGGAGAGGCAACGTGCCACTACAAGAATTAGTTAAAAACATAATGGAGAAGGAAATAAAGTGATACGGTGCTGCAAAGTAGCACATGTGAGCAAGTGACCACATCAGTGCCCTCCTGTTTCAGAAGAGTTCGTATCCGACGAACTGAGCTGTGTTGGCGCGGTATCGGCGGGATGATACGTCGATATGTCTGCGACGTTGAAGGTAGCAGGTGTCAATATATCCGGTGGGAGCTCAACTATATAGGCATTCGCATTGACACGGCGCCTGATGGCTACTGGTCCGATCTTACGCGGACTAAGTTTTGAATATGTCCCGGCGGGAAACCTTTCTTTCCTCAATCTCACCATAACTAATTCACCGGGATGGAAAATTTTGGCACGCCTGTGAACGTCAGCCTTCTCTTTATAGTCAGTATTGGATTGCTCCAGCCTCTGCCGCACATCTATTAACATTTGTTGGAACCTTTCAGCCATGTCGTGAGCCGGTATGTTTTTGAGCTGTGGCAAAACAGCAATATCGACCACATGGTTAGGAACCTTAGTGTATACAATTTGGAAAGGACACATACCGGTGGATCGATTAGTCATCGAGTTATAAGCAAACTCGGCTTGGCTTAGGACTTCATCCCAGCTCTTCGGATGGTCTGTAACCAAGCAGCGTAGCATACTGCCCAAGGTCCGGTTAACAACCTCTGTTTGCCCATCAGTTTGAGGATGATACGCAGAGCTTAAGTTGATGTCGGTCTTCAATCGCTTCCAGAGTTCCCTCCAAAAATGGCTCACGAATTTTACTTCGCGATCTGAAGTAATGCTGCGTGGCAACCCGTGGAGTCGGACAATTTCCTTAAAAAAAAAGCTTGGCAATTCCGAGCGCATCGCTGGTCTTTTTACAAGCAAGGAAGTGTGCCATCTTTGAGAATCTATTGACTACAACCATTATGGAATCAGCTCCTTTCCTCGTGCGAGGTAAGCCCAGAATGAAGTCCATGCTGAGGTCTTCCCAAATTGTCAATGGCACCGGTAAGGGAGTGTACAAACCTGTGTTTTGGCTGCCTCCCTTATAAGTCTGGCACACATGGCATCTTTCCACAAATCTGGTCACATCTCGGCGGATGTGAGGCCAATAGAATCGATCTTGAAGCTGTAGTAACGTCTTCTCCCTTCCTAAGTGTGCAGACAACCCTCCCGTGTGCATTTCCTCTATCAGCAGCTGCCTCATGGATGAAGCGGGTATGCACAGAGCATTGCCTTTAAACAAGTAGCCTTGCTGAATCATGAAGCCTTCCGAGTATTTCCCTGACAAACACTCAGTCCAGGGCAATTTGAAATCAGCATCATCGGCATACAAATCCTTCAGGGACTCCATTCCCGTAACTTCTGTTTGAAGTTGAATAAGAAGAGCAGATTTTCTGCTCAGAGCGTCCGCTACCCTGTTTTGAGTTCCGGATTTGTGCTTGAGCACGAAGCTGAATCGTTGGAGGTATGTCACCCACCTCGCGTGCATCCGGTTGATGTGCTTCTGGGAGTTAATGAACTGCAATGCCTGATGATCACTACAGAGGACAAAATCTTGATGCAACAAGTAATGCTCCCATTGCTTGAGGGCTCGGACCACGGCATAGAGTTCCTGTTCGTAAACAGACCACTTCTGCCTAGTGGGACTGAGTTTTTCGCTGAAGAATTCAACGGGCTTGTTGTCTTGGTACAAAACAGCTCCAATGCCGATTGATGAGGCATCCGTGTCGACGTTAAATGGCTTGGTGAAATCCGGCATGGCCAACACTGGTGCGGAACTCAGAGCTTCCTTGATGGTATCGAAACTGCGTTGCTGCTCGGCTCCCCAACTGAATGAACTCTGCTTTAAGCAATCCATCAAAGGCGCGGTAATGACACTAAATCCTCGCACGAATCGACGGTAGAAGTTGGCCAAGCCATGAAAACTGTGGATGTCTGATACGGAGCGGGGTTGTGGCCAATCTCGGACAGCCATCACTTTACGCTCGTCTACACATACTCCTTCAGCCGAAATGACGAAACCCAGAAAATGGACAGTGGGGTTTGCAAACTCACATTTGCGGTTGTTCAAGTAAAGCTTATGAGTTCGGAGCAGTTGTAAGACAGCTCTCAAATCCTGCCAATGCTCCGACAGTCCAGTATTGTAGACTAATATATCGTCAAAATAGACCACGCAACATTTGTTTAACAATGGCCGGAGTATGTTGGTCATGAGACGCATAAACGTCGAGGGAGCGTTGCACAATCCAAACGGCATTACCCGCCATTCATAAAGACCAGTAGGCGTCTTGAAAGCCGTCTTCCATTCATCTCCACTGCGAATCCGAATCTGGTGGTACCCGCTGCGGAGGTCCAACTTGGAGAAGAACTTAGCCCCTGATAAATTATCCAGCATATCCTCAAGCCTTGGTACCGGGAATCTGAATTTCGTCGTGATTTTGTTAATGGCCCTACTGTCGACGCACATCCTCCACGACCCGTCTTTTTTTCGGTACTAGCAAGGCCGGCACGGCGCACGGGCTTCTGCTGTGCTGAATGAGCTGCTTTTGGAGTAGTTCTTCTACTATCAGCTGGAGTTGTTGTTGTTCTAACAGACTTAACTGATAGTGCGGTAAGTTTGGTAAATTGGCTCCTGGCACTAAGTCAATCTGATGTTGAATGGGTCGGTCCGGAGGAAGTCAAGCTGGAAGTTAATTTGGTAGCAAGTCACTGAAATCATTCAGGATCTGCTGCAGCTCTGGGTGTGGCTCCGATTTGGTGCTTTGATAATCTGACTCAATGGATACCAGGGCTACCAGAGAATCTGTTTCTCTGTCGTGTTGCAGTAGAGCCTTTCCGGAGATAACGGAGAGCGGGTTTCACAAGCTGTAGAGAGGCGCCCTGGGACAAACTGGTAGGCAGCAGCCTCAATTTGCGACCCTTCCATTCTAGGGAATAACTGTTCGTCCGCCCATCATAGTTGACACCATTGTCATACTGCCATGGTCGTCCCAATATTAGGTGACATACATCCATTTCCAGTACATCACATAATACCTCGCAGACAAAATGTTTCCCTATGGAGAAATTTACTCGGCACATATCAGTGATGGGTATCTCCATACCTTTTTTCACCCAACCAATCTTGTAGGGGTTTGGATTCATGGTCGTCTTCAAACACAGGGATTGCACCACAGCACGAGAGATGATATTCTCCGTGCATCCATTGTCAATCAACAGGTCACAAACCTTCCCACTGATGGTGCACTTAGTTCTGAAGATGGCGTTGCGCTGCGAGCTGACATTGCTTCTTGGGGCTAACAAGATCTTCTGCATAACACAGAGGATTGGATCCCCTTCATCCCCTCCTATCTCTTCGAATTCCTCTTCACAATCTGCATCTTCTTTACTGGTGGAGTTAGCTTCGGCTTCACCTTCTAGCAATTGCATTTGCGGTCGGGTGGGGCACTCATTGGACTTGTGCCCCGGTTGAAGACAACGGAAGCACTTAATAGTGCTTGGCCTGGAGTAGGGATTTTCCCGCACAGGCGCCTTCCATTTATTGATGGGTCTCATGTCAGGCGTTGGCAGCAAGGGGGTTGAATTTGGCAGAGCCTTCTGTCCTGGCCTGGTGTCTATAGGAGGTTGTCCCCTTTGTTCACTTGGTGCAAGATAATTATACGCTCGTCTTCCTCCAACATTGTGAGACGATCGGTTCAGTTGCAGCTCAGCTTTTAAGGCGTAATTCACTGCCTGTGCAAGGGACCAAATGGAACTCAATTCCAGGCAATCTTGAATGGCTTCGCGCAATCCTCCAATGTAGCGAGCTACCAGCTGGTTTTCATTCTCCTGCAGGTTATTACGAGCACAGAGGCGATAAAATTCCTCTGTATAATCATTGATCGTCCGTCCCCGCTGATGGCATTGCTGGTACTTTACATATAGCAGCTGTTCATAATCGGCAGGTAGAAACTGAGTCCTCAGGAGCTGCTTCATCCGAGCCCAGGTGCGTATCTTCCCTCTGCTGGTTCGCTGCTAGACTGGAGCATTTGCTGCCACCAAGCATTAGCTCCTCCGCGCAATCTGCAAGCAACGTATTTGACCTAGGTCTCCTCGGGTA